CGTTTTTGCCTGGCAATAACGCGATCACGATCTCCCGCCAACTCAATGTTGTAAACTCAATGCGTATCGTGGCACGGGGTATGATGCAATAGCCTAACTGCCAATTTTTGTTCATTGCAATTTAATTACTGGCATATATTACTAAATATCAAGCTTGTAGTTGATGAAAATATTAATTAATAACCATAAAATGTAACTGATGGCTGTCAGATAGTACGAACGGTAAAAGGATGTACATGTGGGATTTTCCAACATTCGCAGGTCGTTCTATAAATAACATAGATGCTCCGACACTAAAAAAAAAATCATCATTTAAACACATAATATTTAAGACAATTTTTTGCATTCATGTACTGAAAATGAAACGTGTGATTAACATTATCAATGTTTCTGAATTTACTTTATGAACTCTGGAAAGCACTTAGTTCCAACGCATGTGCTTCTAATACACTATTCAGAAGCGCTCCAAGTGACAATACGAGGGTCATTCAAAAAGTTTTGTCCTCCCAAGTCTTCCACAAGAAAATGAACGTAAATCACTTCAAACACACTTTTTATGGTTCATTGAATTCATTATCAACCACACTGTCCTTGCAGAAAAAGAATTGCTTCAGTTTTTGAAGAATTATCAAGTTTTGAAAATACCCTACACGTGATACTCTATAGTTTCATCATGGGAAAGAAGGTAAATACAACAGCAGAAATGAGAAGCTACTTAAAAGCCTGTGCTAAACTTAAAAAATCAGCAAAGGAAACATTTGAAGAGGTACAAAATATCTATGGAGACCAACAGCCTTCATACAGAACCGTTTCCAGGTGGCTGAAAAAAATTTAAAGATGGGAGAGAAACTGTTAAATAAGATGTACGATCCGGAAGACCAGAAACGGTTAATAATGCAAAATACTTGCTAAAAATCAAAGATTTAGTGGAGAAAGAGGGTAGATACACTGTTAAAGATTTAGCTCGAATAGTAGGGATATCAATGGGAGCAGTTCACAAAATTCTTACCTTAGATCTCGGTTTTAGGAAGATATCTGCAAGGTGGATACCTCATTTACTGAATGAGGAACAGAAAGCTAGTCGTGTTTCATGTGCGAAGAAAATAATCAAACTATTCAAAAACAGGAAAAATCGACTATTTTCAGACTTAGTAACAGGAGATGAAACGTGGGTTCATTATTTTCAGCCGCAGAGAAGGTTTAATAATAAAGTCTGGATGACAAAACATGGAAAGCGTTCAGTGATAGCCAAACGCTGTCAGAGCACCAAGAAGATTCTTTATGCCATTTTCTTTGATAGGGAGGGTGTTGTATTACAATTTCCTATTCCCAAGAAGAGAAGTATTACTGGAAAGATGTACAAATGTAAAATTTTGCATAAACTTAAACAGCAATACAAAAACAAACGTCCAAAAACTGGTATTAAGGGTCTCTTCTTGTTGCACGATAATGCTCCAGCCCACAAGTCCAAATTAGTCACAGATTTTCTCAGTAAAGAAGGGGTTAATGTCATCCCCTATCCTGCTTACTCTCCAGATCTTTCCCCTTGTGACTTTTTTCTCTTCCCAAAACTTAAAAGACATTTAGCTGGAAGACGCTATAACTCTAGGTCATCACTTGGCTCTGCAATTCATCAGTTTGCGAAGGGTCTGCCTGAACAAGAATATAGGAAAGCTTTTCAGTAGTGGATTTCTCGACTTAAAAAGTGTATACGTGTTGAAGGAGAGTACTTTGAAGGAATGAAATAAAGAAATGCAAATTATATTATGTCCTTATTTTTTTATTCCACTAAGGACAAAACTTTTTGAATGACCCTTGTATCTACATGCAGTAAGCATTACATTGGTGCTACATAATGAGAACAAAAAAGTTTCAAGATAACTGCAAGAGTAGATACATAAAAAAATAAGGGAGGGTCATTAGGGGCCTATTTGTAGATAGCAAAATTAGCACAATACCGTAACATAAAACAGTAAAAAGACAATGGCTTTATAGAAAATTTTAATAGAACAATTTTTCGTGATTAGATCTCTTTTATATGAAAAACTCTATTGTTGAATAATTTTAAGCAAAAACTGACAATTTGTTCAAAATCTATATATTTAGCTTTTATTTACCTTTAAAAAAGGTTATTAGTGAATTTGTATTTTTCATTTAAATATGAATTTAGATAAAATAAACTCAACTGCCAAGAAACGCCTCAGGCCGTCAATTCAGCGACCCCCCACCCTTGCAGTAAGAAATTTCTGAGGAAACACTAAGTAATATTCTAGTATACTACATTTCCTTACATTTTACATCCATGTCAAGCACGTAAGCCATTATGGCCCTTCAGGCCTTTGATTGGTCATTTAATTCAATTGGGTGACGACATGGCCAATTTGTGAATTCTTACAAACTCCAAAGAGCTTTTTCGGAAATAAACGTTTTTTTTTTTTTTTTGTAAATCAACATCACCAAAGCTTTTAACATTTCTCACACATTTTATAACCAAAGCGCACACTGAATAAAAAACCCAGGATTTATGGTGTAAAACATTTACTTTTCTCATTAAAATGTAACTCGAAAAAAAATTACCGCATAATGTAAGATTGATTACGAAAGCCCAGAAGGCTCATTCGAGATTCGGGGTTCGAAATACGAAATTCGAGATTCCAAATACGAGATTCGAAATTCGAGATTCGAATTCCGAGTTTCGAGATTCAAGATCCAGATTAACCAATCAAAAGCGGGTTCAACATTTGATTACTTTCCTTTATTATGATTGACTATCAAGAAATCTTTTAATATATTTATAACAAATGAGTCATTTGATTAAATCACAATGCAAGAAAGTGTGTTATATATATTAGAAGGAAAAGTAAATGATCATTTTATTTTTGATCAGCAAGATATACTTCAATTTATATTATGGCTTCTTAAATATTAAATAGAATACATGTATCAGGAGTTAATATATTTTTGTATTGTCTACTTTGATTCCGGGGTTGATGGCATTGTAAAATTTGAAAGGCGACGCAATATTGAAAAACAAAACTCGCTATCGTTTTCCTGATAGAGGAAATACATAAAAATTAAGTATTTAATTACTTATCTTCACCTAAGGCTTTAGTTTCTTGAAATAATTAAAAATTATATATAAATGTACAATACAGGTTGCCAATATGAATTTTAAATAAATGCAGCATTTATTTCATCTAATATCAATAGTAGATGAGTCTAAATTAGATGCGGAACTATAGCGTTATGGTTTTAAATTTTAGTCTCTGACCATACCTTTATGACCAAAGACTAAAATATACTCGTGAAACCTTATAACGCTATAGCTCGATTCAGCAGTCAAGTCTCACTGCAAAAATATACCCTTTACAAATGTAACGAAATATATACCCTTGAATTACTGTGCAGTGTAGAGACGATTCATAATATACTAGTATTTTTTATCTAATTATAATCAATACAACATTCTCCATCAGATATGATCTGATAAAAAAAAATAGTTGACCTACTTATTCCCAAGTCAACGATAAGACCATATAATATTCCATATATACGTATTTACTATTTTATTTAATGAGAAAATAAAATTATATATGTATTTTTCAAAATGTAATCCGAATTTTATTTTTATTTCGTTTTAATACAAAATTTTTTTTCTTGCAATATGATTTTAGCAAATGTCCCATTTGTTATAAATGTATTCAACAATTTCTTGATATTAAAAACATAACAAAGGAGAGTAATCAAACGTTGAACCCGCTTTTGATTGGTTAACTAGTTTGGATCTTGAATTTCGAAACTCGAATTTCGAATCTCGAATTTCGAATCTCGTATTTCAAAACTTGAATCTCAAATGAGCCTTCTGGGATTTCGTAATTGATCGTGAAATAAACTACTTTGTTCAAAACCACTGATTCTAAATAAAGATCCTTATTAGCTCTTTCAAGATACCTTTGACACTACTCTTTTGCAGAATAAATTATAATTTCTAAAAATATAAATAAACATACCAGTATATTAAACAATTTGCGAATGTTTTAACGTTCCATTTCTCTACAAATACTTTGTATTTTATTTTGCCATGCAAAAGAGCAGAACGTACCGCAGCTTTCGTGGAAAGGCAAATTGAAAATATTTTTGTCTTCAGTCCAAGGACTTGGGTCTTGTCTAAATATACTTGTGAAGACTTGGACGTAGTCTAAATATACTTGCAAAGACGGACAGCATTAGGCCATGATTTCCACTTCAACCAATAAGGAGCATAGTTATCATATGGACCAAAAAATATTTTGCAAGGATATTAAAAATTCATATATAACTATTTATCAAATTTCTTCTGTTCTCTATTAAAATTTAAAGTTTTTTCAAAACTATTTTATTTGCTTTAAAAAACATTACTAAAAATCTAAATATAATGCTTAAATTTAAAACACAAGCACACACGGCATATGGGATGCATTTTTCTATATGTATGAATTTGAACTCGAATGACTTTTAATGATAATAATAATAATGATAAAAACATAATTTAAGAGTGAAAAAATTATGTATGAAGTGTTTATAATCATATTTATCTATTTTGTGTGAGCATTTTGGTTCCTGAACAAGACTGTATCATTTTAAAGAAGAAAATAATTAAGCTGAGCATTTACATGTAATAAACAGAAGGCTTCTTAAAATAAGTATGAAGAAGGATAAAGGAGTTGCCTGAAAGGAAAATACATGCATCGTGTTTCTGATGAAGTTTGTGCAATTTAAAAATCATGCTAGTGGTTTAAGTTGATAATTTAACATTTTGTTTACATGAAACAGTAAAATGTGTATAGTTCTTAAAATTTGAAGTTTCCAGTTCGAAACAGGAAATGACTGGTAATGCATAATACAGTAAAACACACACAAATTTCTAATGTATAGACATTATAGTACCTGATAGACAAATCATGTATTCAAGGCTTAATGAAGAATTAGGCTTTTTTTAACTCGTGGAAATATTAATAATACTAAGATGAAAAAAATGACCGGATTTCTTCTTTTGCTTTATCATTGAAGCTGGAATTAAAAATTAGACATCCCTCATAAAAGACGCAAGCGATCCGTTTTATTTTCATCAGAAGACAAGAATTTTCCAGTTCTCTTGCATATGCTGTTTCCTTTCCCTTCACACATTCTTTCATGATGACAATAAAAACACTACTTGGAGGTTCTATTCCTGAAATTGAAAGAGAAATTAAAAAAAAAGAAAAAAGAAAGACAGTCAAAGAAAAAAGTATATGATCTGCCACTGGTCCTTGTCAAAAAAAAAATTTAAATACAGTCAGTTGATTTAACTATGACCAACTCTACTTATATATAAGGAGAACGGACCGCAAAATGTTTTTTTTTTATTTTAAAACACATTTGCTGATCTTGCAAAAACAGAGTTATGTTAAAAAAATTATTAAAAAACATTTAACAAACATAACCCCCCCCCCCCCAAAAAAAATGTTAGTAAGTAAATTAATTTTACATGATAGAGAAAAGTTTTTATGAGAGAATATTTCGCATTTCTTTTACATACTTAGTATAACATTACGTTTATATTACATTTCCAGATGAAAAACTATAAGGTAGTTTGATATTGTCCAAAATTTTTCGAGAAGAACTCGTTTCATTTGAAATTTTCAAATTAAAATAATAACTATGAAGAGTGAAAAATGCTGCTTTTCACACTTTGCATGCAATATTCATTCCTGAATTAAGAAAAAAGTACGAAAATAAGGGTTTAACGAAAACTAAAGATACAAAACAAAGAAAAGCTGGAGACCAACACCTTGAGGTTAAAATTGCGGAAGATTCTCACGTGTGGATACCGAAAGGTATTCAATAGGGTCTGTAACTAAAGTTATAAACTTAAAAGTATAAAACAGATCACCAACACAGTGTTGGTGATCTGTTTTATACTTTTAAGTTGAAAACTAAAGATGATAAATGCACAGTATATATAGATAACTAAATATTTCTTTTTGGTTGCATTCAAATTACTCAGCAAATTCAAATTACACTGCAAAGCGTTTTTCAAGCCAATCTTCTAATGCGTATTCAGGTTAGTACTACATGATTGTATTTATTTTCAATATTTATGTAAATAATTTTAATCAAGGTCTGCTGTCTTTTATTGAGCTTTCGCCATTATTCTCGCGAGAACGTAGCTTTTACAAGTGGTGTATTGTAGGTCCAGAGTAATTGCGGAAAAAATTCGTCTGGGTCAATATGCAAAGTCTATATCTATTCGCCAAGGAGTTGTTCTAAGAACTTACGACTAAGACCAAAAATTGCAGTTGATCGTCAACGTTTGCCAACTTTGATTCTTTAGTAAATTGCTAGCATAGAATTAAAAATCCTGTTCAATTCTTTCTTAAAGAGATTAAACTTTTCTCATATCAATGTAAAGAGAAAGTTAAAACAAGAATAAAAAATTGGTTGAAATTGTAAATGTTTTGTAAAACAGACCCATCCAATATGCGAGAGCGATACCGCGCAAATCGGCGTCACTCTGACGTTATTCAATTGTGATGGCAATGAAGTATACTGTTACGCGTATGAAACATCGCTGTTTGAAAAGGTATGCGACGACCAAGTAGGTTAATTCTTGTTAATTCTATTTACCTTGAAACCCCATTTTCCTCAGAGTACGCTGAATTTCTTCGGGAATTCTGTTTTGATGTTTGCAGGGCAGCAAATATTTCCTACCAGGCCGAATTTTGGTGACTAAGTTAACTTGTAGATTAAATTCCTTTTTTATAAAATATTGCAAAGCGAAGATATTGTCTGATGTTGTCTGTTTTTCGTCTTTCTGAACCAAAATCTCAGCTGAAAAGTACAACAAAAAAAGTCCAATTAATCTCATTCAAAAGAATGACTAATATTAAATTATATGTTTATTCTATATGAACGTTTAAAAGTGTTGAATAAAGATTTAAAAAAAAAAACAATATCCATTGGCAACTGCCAATTGCACTCTGGTGTTGGCATACTTATTTTGAATTCGTATTTATATTAGTCGGAGTTTTTAAGTATTTTAATTAGAATTTACTAAATTATAATTGAATTATACTTTTAATCGCTTAGGCTGTATATATTGCTTAAGTTTTCAGAAAAAAATAATAAAATTGAGAAATAAAAACAGGCAAGTGACACTTTGCTATATAAACTTTTACAGAATAAAATTTGTTACGTGCATATAACCAAATGAATGATTTGTCCCTAAGTTTAAGTGTTTATTTTTCTTAATAGTTCGATATGAAACAATTAATTTTGATTATGATTTTTTAACGGGTACAGGCTGCTGACAAGCACTTGGATGGCCAAGGGCTCTCAATAATATCTGGTAAAGTCGTCATTTCACATATTCTTTATAAGCTCGACAAGTTTCTAATTATTTATGACTGACATTTAAAAAATAAGAGGCAGATGGGCCACATCGCTCACCTGAGTAACTTTCATCACTTTGTTCTTTAACAAAGGATGATTGCGCTATGTATTGTGTCTTTTATCGGTCGCTTCTGTTGCTTTCAAATCTTAACCTAATTTCATTTTTATAGATTTACTACAGTACTTTGTCATTTAGACACCCAATTAAATGTAAAAATAATTTTAGACTGTAATACAATAACATATTTCATGTTTTTGTCCTAACAGTTTTCCAAATGTAGAGAATTTACACTTACCTGCCATTGATTGTACATTATGTTTGCTTACATCGTAAGTACATTTCCTTCCCTTATAGTTGTTTAATTTGATTTCGAATCCCTAATGTAGCCCAGCCCTACCCCCGGGAGGCATTATTTGAATAATTTAGAATCTACACGTACTATCTCAGGATGATTTCCCATAAGTTTCAGTTTTTCTGGCCGAGTGGTTCTGGACAAGAAGATTTTTGAATGAGTTTCCTGTAAAGTGTATTTCAATGTAATATTTGGATATCCTACAGTGGTCCCGCTCTACCCCTGGGGTCATGATATGATCAATTTAGACTCTGCAAGTTGTTGCAATATAAGTTTCAGCTTTTTCTGGTCCAGTGGTTCTTGAGAAGAGGATTTTTTCTATTTATTTTTATATGAAACTTCTCTTCTCTGGCACCGCCTTAAATGTACCAACGGGTGTCATGATTTGAACAATTAAGAATTTTTACTGCATTTAAATTCTTGTCTTTTGTTGATTATCTCCCCTTGGAAGGAACTTAATCCATAAATTTTTAACAATTTAAACTCCTGTTCACCTAATGATGTTTGTACCATGTTTGATTAAATTTGTCGCAGTGGTTCTTAAGAAGACGTTGATAATGTTTGAAGTTTACAGATTGACAGACACACGGACGGACGATGGACAGTGGGCTAAAATCTAGTTACATGAAGGATCACATATTTCCCCTTTGCCTGATGAAAAGAAGAGACTTCCAGTAGGCCACGCCTAGGTGTCTCAGGTTGTATCTTTCAGAGGATATTTTTTGTCTTTCATTTACATTTTGATTTTTTCTACCTGAGCACTGTTTGATATTAGCACTGTTTTATTACAAAAATTACAGCTATGAAAATTTTTATTTTTTGAACTTCAAAGAAAACTATTTACACTATAACTGGTATTGATCAGATAATAGAGAGATTTGTTTCAGTATATACGAAAATATTCAATTTTTGCATGTATTATAATGATAAATATGCATATTATTTGGTTTATTTGTTAAGATAGTACTAAATATTTTACGGACAAAACAAAACGATTCTCTTTATTACATGAAGCTTTTATAAATGTCTTTCTTTCTTTGAATTATTTGCATTTTCTCCTACATTTCTCTGTATAAAACAATTTTAAACGATTCTTTATTACATGAAGCTTTCATACCTGTCTTTCTTTCTTTGAATTCTTTGCATCTTCTCCTACATTTCTCTGTATAAAACAATTTTAACCATAAATATAATTAATAAAGTAAATACCATAAATAAATGAATCTTAACCATAAATATATTTATTTTCTTTATATATTGTATTTCAATTTTGTGTTTAAAGTGGCATATAGGCCCGATGGGCCGGATGTTGATAGTTATTTTATACAGTCTGTAATCAAAAGAATATAATTATGTACACATGTCACTACAATTAAATAAATTACTTACTTACTTATAGAGATGTATAAAGTATAGAGCAAAATATGAGTGAATTCGTTCACTTACTATACGTAAAACAAACAAAAATGGCTAAGAAGAAAATCACAACTGGCGCCGTTATTCTCAAAGGAAATGATATGTCTGATTCCTCTGACGTATTCCTAAAAAACAATACACTTTTATTAAATTCAAAGAATTTTTTTTTTCATTATTTGTGAACATTTATCATAAATTACGAATAATTGCAAATGTTTCCCGAAAAGTGATGAAAACCAAAAACATGAACATTGCTTCTCGTATTTGAAGTAAATAAGACTGAATTTCTGGCAATCATGTAACGCCTGATGGGTCTTGTAATTGAATTGCATAAGTAAATTTAAAAAAGCAATAACATGTTGCTGTGTAGTTTGTTTTTTAATTTTACACCATAGAAGATTTTTCAGTTGTCAGAGAGTATCATAAAATGTGTCCTTCCTACCAACTGTGACAGTGACGTTTGAGCGTAATTGCGTCAAATCAAGACATGATTTTTCATCATATGCCGCCTCTGAAACCGACAGTAATACAGCAGGCAATCATAATCTTAACAATTCATCCTTCAAAATAAACGTCGTTGTCACTCTCAATCGCGCATGTAACGTCATATTCCTAATTTTTCTAGCATGTTCAACACGGAGAATTGTAAGTAATGTCTTTCGAGACTTTTTAAAAAACATCACCTCAACACGTAAATTTTGTCCTATTTTCCTCAATCGAAAATCTCTGTGATAAACTAAACAATTGGGTTTGCAGGCTTTAGAATTCTCAATCAACTTTCTATCAACTTAGCTTTTTTCATTACGGAAGGGTTGAATAGCATCCCTAGAGAGAGATAAATGCTCTGATAATCTCAGAGCACAGGAGAATCGAGTATTTTACTGACGTGCAAGGGAGAAAATGAGAATTTTTAATTTACCTATTTGGGTTACCGTCATAGTTTCAATAACTCAAGAATTATTGGTCAAAATCACTGAAGATTTTGGTAACGTATGGATTAAAGATTTAAATATGTAAAGAGAATAATTCAAAATATATTAGAAATAATAGCACTAATTTACTTTTTAAGTATATCATTCGTTTCTTTTTCCTTTCAGAATATATTTAAGATTTACAACTCTTATGTTTTTAACGACAGGAACTATGAAACCATTTGAGTTTTTATATACTTAGTATAAATCATACACCTTCATTTAGTGGTGTATCGGTCCAGATCTAGGCGTATTGGTCTAGGGGACAGAAAATCTGAACAAGAGTCTCCTTCGCCCTCAGAGTTGAGTTATTTCTATTTTAAACCATGTCAAGGGTCTGTCTCATCCTAAGATTTCAATCCATTATTTCTATCCAATTTTTATATTTTTCATTTATGAAATGACTTAAATAGCAATACAAGTTATGCTGTATAACCTGAGTCGTAGCAGGTTACGCTTTATAACGTACGGGAGCATAAGTTTCTCGCAAATCATGCTATTTTATCGTGTTTTTTTTTTACTAAAGTAATTAAAATGAACGAACATACCTAATAATTTTCAAATATTCTGTAACGTGTTTCCCACGGGTTCGTTTTCAAGGGATACGAGGTCTTAATATTTCCTAAATATATACGAACTTTTCCTCTGGCTCTATCTTAGCTTATAATTAATACCGGGAATCAATATTACTTACAACAATGATTATTTGTTATTTTCAGGGAATACTTGTTTTTTTTTTATACATATAACAGCGGGATACAATTAGAGGTTCTTTGTAACCATGTACTATGACTGGGCTCCTTGCACCCAGTTCCGAAACCAAGTTCCTATTGTAATGAGCAGTTGGTGCCTCACCCTTACTCAGGATTACTTGTAAGTACTTGTACTTGCTTGGCTAAATATTCACCGGTGCTCTACATATGTACCTTAGCCTTACTTTTTTTCTTTTCTAATATTTCCTTTTTTCTTTTTTTCTCAACTGCTTACTTCTTACTATGGGTTTAAGGATGTTCGAAACTGCCTCTGCAGCCTTTAATATAGCTGAAGGCTATACTATTCAAACAGGGGTGAACAGGCTACTGGACTGTTCCATCAGTCTGATTCACACCAGTATTTGAAATAATATAAGCCCAATGTTTATCCATTATTCATAACAATTTTTTGTAAATTATGATTTTTAATGATTCACAAAAAATTACAAAAGCTCCCATGGATATGACCTAAACTTAACAACTAGCAAATAATAATTAGGATAATGAAGATACTCCTATCAAAATCACCATGATAATGAATCATGGACGAAACTCGATTGTCATTAATGTCAGTAAATAAATAATATATTATATATTTTCATTTCTAACCTTTTCTCTCTGATACATGTAGCTTATTAGGTTACCGGAGTTGATTTCTTGATAGTTCTACCGGAATGTAAATTAGGCAGGTCGATAGGTCAGGAGCTAAGGAGGCCTAATATGCATGCAAATCTCGTGCGCATCTGTCTCTGTGTCTGACGCCAAGGAGGTCAACTATGCACATAAATCTCGTGCGGCTGCCTTTGTGTTTGACGTCAGTGGAGCGAGGACAATTAAAATTGGTTTGTGAGTCCTCATGTAGATTAAATCTAGGTCTACATTTTTAAAATCTACAATTTTATTTCACAATGATATGGAAATATAAGGAATCACTGTCTAGTTAGTATAGTATGCCAGGGACATCAACGATAATTGGAAACTGGGATAATTCGCCCGTTATGCAAATTATCCCATGTTTTTCACTATCGTTGATGCCCTGGCATACTATACAAACTAGACAATGATTCCTTAAATAACCATTATGAAAAAGGGACGTTACGTCTGCAGAAAAAAATGTTTTGAGATGAAAAAAAGCCAGAATGAAATATTTGACTTATCACCGATTTTTTTTTTTAATTCAACAAAATATGAAAAGCCATTGTGTTCAGTTGATTTTTAAAAAGTAAATTGAAATATCTTATACCCTTTAAACAATCAATAGATCTACAGGATGATACATTCAATGTAGAAGAATACATTACCTTGTCATATTTGGAATAACTAAAGGTAGCATATGTCTGAACGAATAATCAGATCTTTGTTGTGCTGCTTTTAACCAATATGCAATGGATACTGACTTCCTCAAATTAAGTGGCAATTTTATCACGTGTCTCACGTCCTAAAATTAAATTGCTTTGTCAATTTGACTTACATGCACAAAGACATACAAGAACGTTTCACAGATTTGTTCATGATAATATTTAACTTACTCTGACTTAAAACGAAAAAGTAAATAACAACTAGGCATTTACAAACGGAATTTTGTACCTTTAACTTGACATACATTCCTGTTGTTGTGTGAGTGCGCATGTTCAAGGTTCATTCAAGGGATCCTCCAATCTATATTTCCCATTTGTACTTTCGTTTTGATTGTTATCCTTGCATTGGATATTCTGGAATAAAAAGGATACCAACTAAGAAATTGTTTTATTTTCTTCTTTGTTCAGATAAGGTAAATGTTCTGAATTGTATGAAAGTTTTTTTGTTATTTTATTCTTGCATTAAACATTTCCTTATAAAAAATTTAATTAAAATAGAATTGTTTTTAATTTTCTAATCAGATTCTAAAGAAAATTATATGCATAATTATAATGTTCATGTAGACCTGCAAAATTTAGACTTTCTTTACATTATTCCCTAGGCAATTTTAACGATGTGGACAGTATGGCGGACACTTACACGAGCAGGTAACGTATTATAAAAAGTACAGATTGTTTCTTTTCTCATTAAAATTCTATACATTGTTAATTGCCTGACCCTTAAGATATGCGCAAATATATGAAATTCATCAATTCTTTAAAAAATGAGAATATAACCTTTCAGAGATAAAATTAATGATGTATAAAAATAATAATTAGAGCCAAGTTCATTCAAAAGCACCAAGTTGGCCTTCCGTTGTTTTATTATTTCCTGTTTGGTAAGAAATGAAAATTCTCAATGTAAGCTAAGTTCAGAAGTCTTTGTAGACATTTTCACTGATTTTTTGTATGTATTCGCGTAAACAAGCTATTTCTAAGAAATGGTTTTGCAGAACGTTACCTTAGTTCGCGGATTTTAACTCATACTAAGTTTATTTCTCTCAGTTGATTTGTTACGCAAGAGAGTGTTCTACATATGTACAATTTCAAAAACAAGATAATTTTTGACAAATTGATGAAGAATTAACGACGGATTTTTTCCTGTAATTTCCCGATCATGACAAGGAGCGCACGGTTGGTGTGATCGGTCGTCAGGGGATGTTCACTGCACCTGATCCTTTTGGAGGTCCGTGTTTGCTTTGCTCCTTTTTTGTATTGATTGGTGGACTTCTGAGCTTGAGTACTTATCGTTTTATATATTTTATTAGCTGCTCTTTGTTATTATGAACTTCTCTTTCTTCTTTGATGTTTTATAAGATGTGTAATCATACACAATATGCTTGTGGGAGAAAAAGTTGTCTGATCCTAAAAGTTTCCGGCTGAGAGAAAATCAATTATACATTACGTTTATTCTTTAACATTCAATATATTTCTTCACGTTGCTGATCGAAAACCGACTCCCTGAACAAGCTGCAACCACAGATATGACATTTATAGCATACATAGTTAATGGTTGTAAGAGACCTGCTGTCATGTTTACAAAACTTTCCCAAGAAATTATTTAAAAAACTACTTTTTTCATTGACATCTTTTTAAAGCTATCTAAAGCTGACAAATCTTCCTAAAATGCATGTATACGTATACATAGGATTCATTTCACTTCTACGCATAGCTTTCAAATGTTTCTTAGGCAAATTCCGAAGAAATGTATTGATCTTAAGAAAATTGAATGTACAGAAGTATCTTATGTTGAAAAACCAAATATTGAAAAATGTATGTAGTTTTTAAAAAATATTTAAATATATTTATTCATCATAAATTTGTAAAAACAAAAATTGTTCATCAATTGTTTTTATAAACTAATCTCTCTCTCTCTCTCTCTCTCTCTTTTTTTTTTTTTTTTTTTTTTGATTATTATCAAGTTTTCACATATTGTTTCTGTACTATATTAAATATTTCGCATGTTATTGTAACTCATTAGGGAAACCTTTATTAAGACTTTTGATTTTAGAGTTGAGAGTCATTACAATCGTTTGGTTGACCAATCAGAATTCAGCACATATTCATGAATGTCCTTGTGTTTATTTTTTATGGTTCCATCAAGATAAAACAAGGAGATAATAAACAATATTCAAGTTTTGAAAAAATACCATTCAAACAATACAGGAAAGGAGCAAACACGGACTCAAAATCATCAGAGGTAGGATCATGTGACAACATGATAATTGACCGTGTTCTCATCGACAATGATCGAGAGAAGAAAAATATCCGTAGACAATACATTGTGTACATTGTGTCCTTATAATTACCGTATATACTCGCCTATAAGTCGGTTTTTTGGGAGTCAATCTCAGGTCCAAAACTCTGTGTCCGACTTATAGGCGAGCTATAAAAACAATGGTATTATATGAGGTCAGTCCCTCTGAAATATAAGCTTATTAAATACAACCGACTTATAGGCGGACCGACTTATAGGCGAGTATATACGCCTAAATTAATTCATCTAATGTATCTCTGATTGATTGATATTCATGTTCTTGTATCGTTTCACAATTTCAGTCATAAAAACTTTCAATCGAAAAACACTTCGTTATTTTTAGCTCATATAAAAATATTAAAAATCGTCTGAAGAACCACTGGGCCAGGAAAGCTTATGTGGAAGTATCACGGGGTTATGTAGATTCTAAATTATTCAAATAATTCCCCCGGAGTTAGGGCGGAACCACAATAGGGAATCCAAGTTTTACATTAAAATATACAGGGGGTATAGGAAAAATCTTTTTAAAGAAATGTTCTCAAGAGCCATTGGACCAGAAAATCTTAAACTTATCTGGAGACATTTTGGGATAACGTTAATTTTAAATTTTTCAAACCGTGACCCCCGAAGATAGAGCAGGATCACAATTGGAATTACAAGAGGGATAATTGTGTGAAGAAAAACATGACCAAAGTTACTCAGGTGATCATGAGTTATATGGCCCATGGGCCTCTAGTTTACCCTTAATTTCAATCTTTACCATATGATACTTTAATATTTAGATAAAATATACCGGCATTTTTTAATCACGTCTGTGAACCTGAATTCTATTGAACTTTATCCTTAAAACCTACTTTGGCCACAACGTGCACTATAGTTTCTTAAAAAAACCCTTTAATTTGAAATTAAGACGTAAACGCGTATAAAACATATTTTGTCCCAATTTATAAAGCTAATGAGGAATGGGCACCCTAAGGGAGAAAAAATTATTTTAAGGAATGTCTGTAAATCTAGTCATTATTGGTTTCTCTTGGTGATTGCTTGTTGCATCACTCTAAAATTTATGAGACAATTCAGTATACTTTTCATTCATGTTCTAAGTACATATATATTCATTATAACAGGATCATTTTTTATTTGTCTCCTTGCTTTTAAAAATACTTTACAAGTCAAAAAAATGTTTTAATGCAAAATTTCTTTCACAGATGCGATTGAAAAACTTGAACGAGAAAGAGGTATGTCCATTTGTAACACATAATTTTATTTAAATATAAAAGTTCTATGGTCGATACAATGACCTGTATGCAATTATAGTTTATCAATGAGTCAACAAATAAATGGTTTAGTCATTATTTACACACTGAATTAAAGTCGGAATTTTTCGTTATTACCTAGTTATGACAAGGAGGAAATGGCGGATGTGACCGGTAGGCAGGAGGGTGTTCACTCCTCCATGGTACCTGATCTCACCTTTATTGTTTTGGAGGCCTGTGTTTGCTCTGCTCCTATTTTGTATTCTTAAATGGACTTTTGAGCTTAAATATTGTTTGTTATGTCCATACATTTTATTTTTAGCTCACCTGAGCCGAAGGCTCAAGTGAGATATTCTGATAAAAATTTGTCCATTGTCTTCGTCGTTCTCGCTGTTGTTGTCGTCGTCGTTGTAAACTTTTCGCATTTTCATCTTCTCAAGAACCAATGGGCCAATTTCAACCAAATTTGCCACTAAGTTTCCTTGGATGAAGGGGATTCAAGTTTTTACAAATGAAGGGCCATGTTCTTTTCAAAGGGGGAGATAGTTATGAATTAGCGAAAATTTAATGGTATCCTTTAAATATCTTCTTCTCAAGAACCACTTGGCCAGGAATGATGAAACGCCTGTGTAATTATCCTCAGCTAGAACAGATTCAAGTTTCGTCTAAGTATGACCCCGAGGCTAGTGCAGGGCCGCAATGGCTGATCAGGGTTTCATTGGAATATATAGGTAAAATCTTGAGAGAAACAATTTTTTAACGTACAGTTACCTGAGAAGGGGGAGTGGTTTTAGAAAAAGTTTTGTTATTTATCTGGAGACGCCTAATACTGAAGACTTAAAAAATCTGTATACACGTTGCATTACACAGGAAGTCTGCTTTTGATTATCAGGGTCAACATTTGGCAATCAGTGCCCAATTTTGAGCAAAACTGCCCTCAAATAATTTTAACCTAAAATGAAATTAGTAATCTTAAAGTTTTCATTAATGTCTTTTGGAGAAAAATTGAAAAATTAATATCATACTAAAAAATGTTAAAATTATTAAAAATCAAGAGTGAATCAGCAATCCTGTCAAAAAATTTTAATCGTCGCTCAGTAAAACAAATCATTAATAGATAAGTGTGAATTAAGATTGAAATTAAAAAAAAATTATCTGGGGACATTTACAAGGATCGGAATATTTATTTTTCTGGCCAACAATGGGGTTCAATATATTTACCATTTTGGAGGGTCCGTGTTTTTATACCCAATTCACAGATTTGTTCATCGTATGATTTTTATAGACTATTCACTGTTCTTCATCTTCCCTTTTTCACTACAAATTTAGAGGAAATTGGAACAATAATTGTGATATTTTTTTTCAGCGCGTGGTGTAAATAGTGTCTATATACAGCTCAACGCATATTCTAAACTCACATGGTTTTTCGCACAAATTAAGGTCACATTCTTTTTGCAATAAAATGAACATTATCGACCTTAAATACGAGATATAACCCTTATATATATTTAATATTTCATGTTAAAGACACGTTTTCTATATTTTATTATCTTAAAGTTTTTAAGTCGATGTTTAAAAATGGGACTTCATTAATAAATGATATGATGTTACATCTGTATGATTTCACCATAGGTATTTACAAATTAAAATAATCCAGCTTTCTTTGATACTATTTAGTTGAAATTTTCAAATTGACTTCTTAAAGCTAAGTTTTTTTTTGAA